GTTTCCCCCCAACTTTATAATCATCAAAAAATCCTGAAAAAAGTATCACAGGCTATAAAATAAATATTAAGCATTACAACTGTTTCTAACAATGATAATAAATAAGCATATTATAATTATTTATGAAGGATCATGTGACACTGAAGACTATTACAGAAAAAATATTATATTTTACAGTATAGTAAAAATAGAAACCATTATTTTAATTTGTAATAATATTTCACAATATTACTGTTTTTTTTCTGTTTTTTTGATCAAACAAGTGCAGGCTTAATAAGCATAAGAGACTTCTTTCAAAAACATTAAAAATATTAATGTGTCCAAACTTTTGACTGGTACAGTATAAAAGAATATATACAACATTTTAAATGAAATGTGTAAATAAAAAGTTTAGAAATCATATTTGTTTGAAATGCTTTTATTGTGCCTCCAAATGTCTAGAACTGGCCCTGCTTATAGGACAATAAGTGTATAAGGTGTAATAGGTGGTTGGGGTATAAGAGGTTCTCAGACATAAACACATTTGTTTTACTTAAATTATGTTTATGCATGACTATTAATCTCAATAATATTTCTCAATAATCATTTTGAGAAAGAAATGTACCTGTTGAGGGTGTGCTGACAGTCTGTTATTGAGTGACTAAAAGCTCTAGAAAAGTCAATAAGGAGGCTTTGACAGTTACGGATTTGAAAAATAAAAAGGCAGGAATAAAGAATCCTAAACACTAATAACCATTTCAGCATGAAGTTCTTCAGGACAATATGGTTCAAAATAGAACTGTTACTACATGTAAAGAACCTTTAAAGAACCGTTTTTAAGAGTGTATTTATTTTATGTGAACATTAAAGGGTCCAAACAGCAAAGCAACTCTTGTTGTGTTTGTTCAGAGAGTCTTATTCTGATCTAAAAGTGTCTGAACATCTGAAACAGTGAAGCAGATTCAGACGAGTTTACAGACTCCTGCTTGTCTCTAGGTGGCGCTATAATGCAGTACACTCATGATTTTGATCTTTGTCTGTTTGGGATCAAACACACAATATGTTATACCCAATCTTCACTTCTGCCTAAATTTTATTAAAGAATAAACCAGATTTATTTCTGCTGAGACACAAAGAATATTCTTCTCAAGAGCTGCTTAAGAGCATTTCTAAAGATATGATTATAATACATACAAGTCTTTAGGCATGAGAGAGAGAAGTACCCACACCAGCATTCAGTCAGAGATTCTGTAACACTTTATAATAACTTCCATTAATAAATCATTAACAAACATTATATACCGTTTAACTAATCATTACTTCATATATATTCACATATCTAGAAATATGAGATAATGTGCTTGTTAATGTTAACTAATGATTTTATTAAATCATTACCAAATGATTAACAGATCATTATTTAATGTACATTTACATGCTTACAAATGTCATTAAACTTCAGTTCACACATTAGCTAATGTTCATTTTTACATTTACAAATGTTGTGAAACTATAGCTTAAATAGTCGTTTTAAGCACTTCACAAATTATTCATGCTAATATATTCATTGACTCATAATCACAGTCTGTAAAGGTCATATATTTGGTCGTTGTTTGTTGTGTAGACTTCTATTATTTGCACAACTTAAATCATGTATTAATTATTTGTTAATGATTTTGCAGTACCCAATCTAAAGAGGAAACTATTCATCATTTGTAAATGTTTATAAACATTTACTAATTTTTTTTTGTATCATCTGGAGGTGATGGATGGATTGTGTGTGTTTTGTGAGGATCTACTCACCTTCATGACACACGAAAGGATATGCGTTGGTGCAGGAGATGTCATGCCATTGTCCAGGAGGGTCATGTTTTACTGCTGTACAGTTTTCATTAATGTTAGGTTGAGTAGGATCCCAGTTTCTGAAAGAAGAGTTACTCTTATTTGAACAGCTATAATGGTGAGTAATTTGTGCCATTAAGGTTTGCAACTGTATAGACACATGCTCTATAAAAGCAGATACAAGTTTGTTACTTATAAGTCTCATTCATTATATTGGTTCTTTCTTTCTTTCTTTCTTTCTTTCTTTCTTTCTTTCTTTCTTTCTTTTGTAGCAGGGTATTGGCAGGTCTCATGCCAGTTCTTTGAGCCTATCAGTGGCCATTTTAGGGAGTATAAGAACGCAAGGGGTTTGTTGGCCTGGTATGCATCACTATTGGATTCTGCTCATTGTGGACTCTATGCTGTGAATGATGGTAGGTGTAGTGGAATCGTGTTTGAACTTGAACTTGTTTGAGATGTTAAAACCGGTATATTTGTGACCGCCAGTCATGTACACTTACTGCTAGCAATAGTTCCCAGGTAGGTTTTTTAATTTTAAAAAGAGATATTTCTGTTAACAAGAGACTTACATGCTCATAGGTTTTAGTTTGTTATCTTGTAAGTGTCTGTAAGCATCTATCTGCTGCTTTGCCTGGGTCTCATTTGGATTCATTTTCGTTATTTGCACACGTTGTGTGTTGGTTTGTTTCTTGTGTGGGGTGGAACCTGAGTGCCTCTGCTGACCATCTCCCTCTTTTTGTATTTTCAGTGACTGTGTGTTTGATATTGTTTAGTGATTATCTACTGAGGATTTGTGGCATTAGTGTATTGGTTGAATGTTTTATATAAATTTTGTATTTAAAGTGACTTTTTTGTTTGTTTTGTTTTCGTTCACCCTGCCAGTGTCAATGAACCTTTGTGCCTGTCACGAATCCTGTGCCTGCCCTTCTGTTCGCTCACCTCTAGAGATCACCCACTCATTACGATGGACTCTTGCACCACACTACTATTGCACTTCACACCGGACTACATTTCCCATCATCCATTGCACTGATTACACACACAGCTGCAATCAATCAAACACCCTGCATAAGCCATGGACTTCCTCTTTCTCACTGCCGAGTATTGTTCAGCGTTTATCGCTCACCTAGTGTTAGCTACATCATGGTGCCAGTTTTCTGCCCTAGTTTCTAGTTCTTAGTTTCTAGTCATAAGCCTGGTTTCCATCCAAAGTTGCAAATTTAACTTATGCGCAAAATTGGAATATCGCATAAAACATTTGCGAACAAGCACTGTTTCCATCCAATGAGTCAGAGCGAACAAAATGGTAACTTCCTGATAAACTGGCAACAAATATCACTAAGTAAGAGAAGCCACTGAATATAATAATTCTCAAATATAATAAATTACTTGTGCTTTGAGTGAGCAGACGAAACACAATAAATGCGGTCTGGCTTTCGGAGGTGAATGTCAGCTGTTTGGGAACGCAGTCGTGGTAGACCGTTCTTGGAGGCAGTTATACAGAAATACTTTGACGATCAATGCTTTGTTTGCTCGGGCACTTCAGAATGACCATGACAACATTTCAGTTGCTGTGCATCTAAATCGGTCCGCTGGTTAGTCAGGTTATGCTGTCCCATAGCACAAAGTCACGTGACATTTTTGAACGCTCATGCGGGATTTATTCGCAAAATGCGTTTCCATCTCCCATTATTCGCATTAACCCTTTTTCGCACAAGTCAAGCAAGCGTAAAAACTTTTTTGCGAATTAAGGGATTTTTATTTGAAATTTGGTGTTTCCATCACTCGTTTCTCATGCGATACTTCAAAATGCACATTAAAACAGGGTGATGGAAACATAGCTAATGTCATAGTCTTGTCTTGCCTGCTTTCCCGTGTCTGGATTCTTGCCTGTGTATTTTGGATTACCCTTTCGTCTTGCCGTTCGGACTATGTTTGCACCTTCACTGGATTTTTGCTTATGTTGTCAGATTACCCCTCTTGTCAAGCTCTCTGGATATTATCAGCTGCCGATCGACCACGCCCGTTTCGGATTACTCTTTTGTCTTGCCTGTGTTGTACCTGTGTTGTTGTCTGACCCTTGCCTGTTTTATGACCACGCCTTGAAATAAAGTCTTGCATATGGATCCACACGTCTCTCGTCTCTTTCGCCCCGTAACAGTGCCCTTGTGTAGGGCTGTATTTCCTTGTGTACTCCAGGTGGCGCAGTTGAGTACTATTTTATGTTATTTGCTCCTTTTGTGTAATTTCTAACTTCACCCTAACTTTGAACAAGAAGAGAGAAAAACAATGTGTGTGTGTGTGTGTGTGTGTGTGTGAGTAAAATAAATAATATTTACATGAATGTCCAAATGATTTTAAACTTGATCAAAAGAATCGTAAGGACTTAATAAATAAATGAGAAAAAGGGAGGTAGGGGATGTACTCTGGTAGTAAAATAATAGTGATCACAAAACATGCAAACTATACTTAAGGGTATATAATAGTATTTCCATAATTATGTCAATAATAATAATAATATTAACAATACTACTGCTTCTACCACCTTCTTCTTTATCAGCAATAATGATAATAGTGATGATAATGAATCATAAAAAATATTTACATTAATGTCCAAATTATTTTAATGTTTAAAGAATCATCAGAACTTGCCAGAAATGTTTTCAGTGGATTACAAAAAAATAATAAAAAATCAAGATATTAAGTATGATTAAATGTGTGTCAGAAGTTATTTCCCTACTCAGCTCCTTAGCGGTTTTACTTTGTTTTCATTGGGCAGCTACATTGTTATGATTTTGAATATTATTATGAGATAATATTCTAGATAATATAAATCTAGAGCTGGTAGATTATAATCTGATCTCTCTCTTTCTGTTTATTTTTAGTTAACAATAGGTTTTTCAGATATAACTGCCACAACAAAGTACTATTACTATTATTACTAGTACTAGATACACGCCACAACTCTTCTCTGTCGACTGATCAGCAGTGGGACTAAGCAGATTTAGTGATGGCTAAAGATTCGCTAGTTCGTATGCATAATTACTTGAGTGTTTGCCTCTGAATTACAAGGTGATCTCAGGCCCCTGGTTGAAAACCCCTGGGCTTCATATATTAGGTGTTTGTACTCACTCTTGTTGCAGATAAAATGCTGGGCAACACTACATTGAAAATCATGCCATTGTCCATTTCCCGTCATAATAACACAATAACTGCTATCTGGTTGTCCAGTAGCCCAGTTCAGATAGAGCGCAGGTTCCCCTGAAGACCACTGCCATTTATTGCGACCCGTCTTCTGCAGCCCAATCCAGATATACTGAACACCTCCACCATTCACACTCTTCTTCAGCTCGTTCATGTCGTTCATGTTGTCAACGGTGGCCAGATCTGTGTAATTCTCTCTGCAGTATCTCTGAGCTTCTGTCCAGGTCTTGTTCTCATTTATAAAGTGATACTGACGCTGAACACATTCAGATACAGAGCAGAGAGCTGTGAAAGAGAGGCTTTGCTTTAATGCTTTTCATAACAGGATCAAACCTAATGAAACTATAAACCATAAATAAAACCACAAACACTCACCAATGAGAAGAAGAATGAAATATAGAGTTTGCTCCATTTCTGAGGAAGAATAAGAGAGTAAAACACATTGTAATAAAAAAAAAAACATTTTAGCAGCAGAACACAACTCACAATCATTTAGACATGATTAACATCTCAAAAGTCTAATTCTAGTTAAAGAATGAAGATGTGAGTTGTTCTTACTTTAGAGGTCGTGTGTTTCTGTCCTGAGTCTGATGTTTCTGTCTGCAGCTTCAAACTATATGATTATTATATCTGCTCTCATCCGTCATCCAGCACGTCACTTCATTTGTATATTACCCTAAACAAAAGCCCTTTACATTTTTCTTCCTCATTCTCACATGTCCACATTTTACTCTGTGATGGTATAGAACTGGAGGACCAGAGCCCTGCAGAGTTTTGTTCCAAACTAGCTCCAACACACATCCCAGGTGGTTTTCAAATAAGCCTGAAGGACTTGATTAGTTGAATCATGGGTTTAATTAGGGTTGAATCAAAACTCTGCAGGGCTCCGGCCCGCAGCAACTGAGTTTGTCACCCCTGTTCTATACTGTGGAGTATTATATTTCCACAGCGGCTTAGCATTTGCATTTCTTTCTCTTATCATTTGTTTTCCATTTTCTTTCATCTTTGATCATGTCAGTGACCCAAACTAAACACAATATTTAAGAAATTATTTTCTGAATTTGTAGAGCTATGCACACAGTGTAATGACCAACAATGAAAAGAAAAGAAAAGTATGGTGCCCGTAAGGTGACATGTTCGGTTCACTTAGTTTTGTCGTGGCCACGGCATAATTAACTCGTGGGAACGTGATATTATGTCGTGGCCACGAGATCATTTTGTCGAGGTAAGGACATCCTATGTTGAGGGAATTACATCCATTTCTCGGGTTTAATGCGTAAACAAACCTGCCTGTCCATAGCAACCCAGGATTATCAGAGATTGATTTATTAATATATTATTTTGAATTAAGAAATTATTATATTATTTATTATATAAATTATTACATTATTAAATTATTAACCATAGGCCTTGGCTACCGGGCTGTTTTACGTGGATAGTCAGCACTCAAATGAAGTTATGTTACATAAAGTGCATAATATAAAATAGGCCTACAAGAAAAAAATTTTATCCATCCTATACAGTCTTGTAAGTCCATCAACTGATCGTCTTTTTCCCGTAATATTTGTATATTATTATTATTAGCCTATTATTATTGGTTATATTTTTATATTTGTTTATATTCTCTTTATTTAACGTTCTGAATACTTTTGTAAATATTAGCCTACTGTAAATGCTCGACATGTCAATAAAGCTTTGATTACGCTGACTGGAATTTTTGCTGGAATGCAGTTTAAATTTAACATGTATTTAATTTTATTCCGGCTAATAAATAGACCATAATTATAAATACTACAGTGTTTTGTTGAGGAATTAATCATTCACGTAGTTTTTATTTGTAAATGAAAACACAACACACTCATTTATCGTCACACATAGGCATAAATACAATCATAAAGTCAAAACTTTATTGGCATGATTGTCAGGTATTTATTTACAAAATATATGGTACACTCTTAAAAATAAAGGTGCTTCAAAAGGTTCTTCAAGCGATGCCATAGAAGAGCCATTTTCGGTTCCACAAAGAACCATTCAGTCAAAGGTTCTTTAAAGAACCATCTCTTTCTTAACTTTTTGTAATCTGAAGAACCTTCTTTCACCACAAAGAACCTTTTGTGAAACAGAAAGATTCTTCAGGTGTTGAAGGTTCTTTATGGAACCTTTCAGACAAAAAGGTTCTTCTATGGCATCGTGAAGCACCTTTATTTTTAAGAGTGTAGGCTAGCAAATACTAGCATAATTATACAAAATGTTAACTAGGTAAAGTGATACACAAATTGAAAGGGGAAATAAGCATATATAAAAATAAATATAAAAATATAGCCCTAATAAGTTAATGTAATAATAATAATAATAAAATACAAATATTAAATTAAATGTTTAATGTTAATAAAAATGTTTTATCTTTTTTTGATACTTAGGTTTGAATTAGGTTTGTTTACGCATTAAACTCGTGGCCACGAGAAAAAATATGTCGTTCCCTCAACATAAGAAGTCGTGGCCACGACATAAGGATGTCCTTACCTCGACAAAATGATCTCGTGGCCACGACATAATATCACGTTCCCACGAGTTAATATGACGTTCCCTCAAGTTAATATCTCGTGGCCACGACCTATTATCACGTTCCCACAAGTTATGTCGTGGCCACGACAAAACTAAGTGAACCGAACATGTCACCTCGCGGGCACCGTAGAAAGAAAAGAAAAGAAAAGAAAAGAACAGACAACAGCAGATGTTCACTAATCAACAAGCGTGTGATCACCTCCAGGCCTGCGATGACTATGACTGGGGACAAAGAGAGAGAGATTAGGTTAAGAAAATAGAATGAGACTTTCATACTAAGACTCATGATCACATTGATTTATGCAGTTTTATAGTGCAACTACAGCACTGAAGCTGCATATACTGTATACTGTAATAAGGTGCTAAAATGCCTTTAAACATAAGTTAACACAGCAGAACATCAGTATGATCCAAGCCTGTATGATTTAATTTATTCTGCGGAACACAAAAGATGATATTTTGAAGAATGTTTCGTGTCCCATTAACTTGCACAGAATTTTTTCTCCATACTAGAGCAGTCAAAGAAGGTTTGAGGCTGTATTTTTGTGCCATCAGCCAATCACTGATGAAGTGATGTGAAACGATACAAGAAACCAGGAGTTTGTTTAATCATAATAATGCTTTATCTCAACAATAAATAGTAAAAGATGCATACCTGAAAGTACAAAGATACATAGTGTGGATCAACTGTGGCCCACATTAGGGCCAGTTTTGTTTTTTTGGTTGGCTTACATGCAGCAATGCTAAGGCTTACTTGAGGCCCAAATCTGGAAAACAGAACTGGACTGCCCAAATGCCATTATTCCACGCAGTATTTGGGCCGGAGCAAGGTGTCGGATCTGGGCCAGAGTTAATATAAATGTGGCCCAAATTTGGGCCAGTTCTACTTTATTTTATTTATTTATTTATTGTCATGGCTGACATGCAGCCTCCCAATGGCTTGCTTGTGGCCCTAATTTGGCAAACAGGAGCGGACCGCCCAAGTGCCATCATTCTTCACATTATGTGGGCTGGAGTAAAGTGTTGTATCTGGGCCAGAATTAAAATCGATGTGGCCCAGATTTGGGCTGATTCTGCTTTATTTGGTTTATTCATGGCTGATACTGGGCCTTCTTTTGACTTGCTTGTGGCCCAAATCTGGCAAACCGGAGCGGAACACCCAATTGCCATCCCTCCACGCGGTATGTGGGCCAGATGAAAGTGTCAGGTGTGGGCACAGTCCAGGCAAGGGGCTCACAGAGACACACAATTTAAAAACCCTAAAAGGGGAGCGGTCTACGCGCTGGAACACAGCTATCCTCAAATAGCAGATTCCTAGACAAAGACTTCAGCACTTACTCGAGAACTTGTGCCAAGGGGAACCCAACCTAGTTAAGAAGCGAGGCTAGAACATAGCTGCCCTCAGACTGCCATATTCTAGAGCAAAAATACATTCCCCATAACCACTCTAGGTGCTGAAAACCCTGGGAGAGAAAACTTGCAAGCCTCTCTCCACAGAATATTTAAATATATTCACGCCCAGCTAGGCTCTCCACACACAATTACAAGCATATTAGAGAGGCACGGCCGAGCAGAATATAGCTCTGCCCACAATCTCACAGGATCAGGGCTGAAACGACTCCGTGCTCACACTTCATCGACACAAAAACCTGATAGTATCTGTGATATCAGACAACCCTTTTTAGAGAGGTTATGTGGATCCCGCAGATCAAAGTGATGACCCGAACACGAAAGCAGAACATGCCCTCGAGTGTTAGAATCCCAACACGGAGGCACACATTCCCTAAGGTGCTGCTCGACTCGAGCGCTATCCGTGGGATCCAGTAACTCAAAAAGAGCATCTCAACCCTGCAAATCTCACGATCCGAGTTTTCGCCGTGCCTCGGCAACAGCGAGACCCGAACCGCGAGACGCAAATGCTTGTTACTCATCTCTCGAGAAGAGGGACAAATGTGAATGGAGATTCTCATTGGATAACACTCACAATGAGCGCGTTCAGAGCCCTCGAGCACTGAACATGCAAGCTCCTGACCAAGACACATGACAGAAAGATCGTGCGTGTCCTCAAGTGCCAGAAACCTCTGGAGCGGAGGCACACACTTTCCACACCGCTCACCTGCCTTGGTCTCTCTCACGCACTTCAAACGGATGGCTCCTGAAGACAGCAAATTTTTTTTCTCATTTTGTCTCTCATAGTTGAGGTATACCTATGATGAAAATTACAGGCCTCTCTCATCTTTTTAAGTGGGAGAACTTGCACAATTGGTGGCTGACTAAATACTTTTTTGCCCCACTGTAACTTGATGATACTTTGATGGTTTTTTTTCCTGTTTTTTTTTTCTACAGTGTAAACTGTACACACCAATCCACCTTATTTTTCAACGAGGAAGTAAGCTGTTTTCTGTGAATGTGCGAGACTTCCGGTTCATCAGCCGCTTTAGGGAAAAATAATGAGAAGAATAACGTAGCGCAGTAAACGGTAAAACTGTTTGCGCTACAAACCAGTGTTAATAATTAAAATAATACATTCAAATAATATACAGTTTGCAACATCAAGCAGCAAAACAAGTTGTTTTTGTGCTGCTAAAAATAGCTGGAAGCCGATGAGACAAGAATGCAGACATCTATCTATCTATCTCTCTCTCTCTCTCTCTACCCTATGAGGCACAAAAGCTAAGAGGTACAACTTATTTTTCCCTAAATGGTACAAAATTAGTTCCTTAAAACTACTTAAGCTCTGGGCGTTTTTTGGAATTTTCGCCTAAATTTGTCATACTCAAATTCAAATGTTTGCCCTACACTCTTCAGTGTCACATTATCCTTCAGAAATCATTCTAATATGCTGATTTGCTGTTCAAGAAACAT